GTTTAGGCTTACTTCTCTATACATGAGTTACCTTCTCAATTATTTAAGCTCAAACTAACTTGTCTAGTAATATTTTCTGATCCTGAATGCTTTGCTTTGACAACATTCCTGAACTTCATTACTTGGAAATCTACTTCTCTTTGTAATTAAAATTCAGAATGCCCTACTGAGTCTTGAGGTCACTTTTAAAGACATCCTCAAAACTAGATCTGCAGCCGGCTCATGAGTGGGCTGACAGGCTCCTGGGGGCACCTGCTACGTGCCAAAGGTGCCCTCACAATGTCTTGCTATGGGATGTGCAGAGCTGCAAGGCACAAGGAAGGAAGAGCTCATGGCAGTGGAGGGAACTCTTCTGTCTCACAGGCTTTCCTAATTTCACTCTGGGACCTGTTTATATATAGCCTTTTGTATTTCTCCTACAGCATCTTTTAGACATAAGTTCACATTTGGTGATATAACAATGAATAGTGTTTGTTTGCATTTGAGATGTAGCTTGAGAAGATTATAAAAGAAATTATATGACCTACTTGTCTGTCTATGAAAGGGATGTGAGCTGATAAATCAGACGCCTCTTCCAGTCCAACTTTTACATTCCTATTAAGGTTTGGACTTTTTGCATTAAAGATGACCAGATACACACAGAGAGATGTCAGCAAGAGAAACCTGGCAAAATTGGTTGCAGGAGGGGAGCTAACATCTATACAAAGAGAGATTTGTGAGGCCTGAGTGCAATCATGGCTGCTGAAGCCTTGTTTGAAATAAACCAGATCCTTGTTTTAGGGATCTGCTCCTGTCTCTTGGTCCGGGACAGCAGGTGTCTTGGTCTAAGCATCACTGTGGCTCAGAAACAAGGCAGAGAGAGCAGAGAGAGACCAGAGAGACCAAACTTCCCAGAGAAGCCCAATTGTATTGTTAGTTCTCAGCCTGTGCAAACCAAGAGCATTGGAGTCAGCACTAAAACCCAGCAATTACAGCATTTTAATTAAACATAATCTTTCCGAATGCCTTTATAAAACAGCATTATCATTGGAACATTGTCTCCTCCTTCCTCACTGGAGGAGACTGAAGCCCATGCTTAGCAGTGAACAACTCTGGGGATCTCACCCTCTGCTTTGCTTTTTGAAGGTGAACCATGAAAGATGAAGACATGAGGGAGCATGTAGCCAGAGGCAGAGCTTCACTTTGCTGACAGACATCAAGAGTGCTTGCTCCCAGCTGTCCCCTCACGTTGGGCACCTAACATTTTGTATGGCGTTACAGAGCACTGTCCTGGGAGGTAGGACTGCAGGATTGAAGTCTCCTTTAATGCTCCAGAGAGAGGGGTAGTGGTGGTGTAAGAGGGCATGAAAAGGCTTATTTACATATTCTAGAGCTGTCACCTCTAAGCAAGAGTAAAACCTTGCCTTCCTGTGAGAAAAATTTCTTCATCAAACAGCATTAAGTTTGAACAGTATGACACTAAAAAAAAAATAACCTCAGGAAATTTTTTTTTTAAATTGCCATAAATTGGTTTTTTTGTCTTCATTACCTACTTTATCTTTTAAACTGTAAAGAAATAACATTAATTATGATATAAATATTACTATATATACTATTTTAGAGACTATTGTTTATGAATATAACGTAATTTAATCCTAATATGCACAAGATCAAGATATTACTTTTCTTAACGAGAAGATTGAAGTCAGCAAGTTTCATTAACACCCCCCTGCCGCTGCTATCAAGCAAGGTATCTGCCTCTTCAAAGTCTAACAGAATGTTTATTCATACCCTCAAATTGTCTCAACTTACCTTCTGAGCAGAAGTGTTTAAATTACACACACATCTTCACATTGCACTTCAGCATTAGCTACTCAAACTAAAAACCTTTCCACAGAACAGAGCACTAGGAAATCACTGACAATACTCAGCAAATACTTCAAAGAGATTATGAAAGACAAGCAAGCAGAAGGACGAGTAGTAAATTGGAGAAAGGGTGATACAATACATTTCATAAAGATACTGATCACCTCTGCCTTGCCAGCTTTTCTTCAAGAGTGGAGGGTAAGCAGCTGTCTTCTATTAATTTCTTATGTACTCATGACCAAAATATTACCTTATACAATACTCATGAGATATAAATTATTATTTGTACTTGTTAAGAAGTTTTTTGTGCAGTAGTTGAGACCATTTTATAACTGCTGAATGTTAATTATTTTTCTATTGTATATAATTTTATCTACTTGGGCCTATTTTCTCCCTCCTATGGATAGCCTTCTAGTTGGCAAGTTTGCAGAGCAGGCAAGGGAGTGGAAAAACAGGACTCCTACAGCCATGGACTCTAGCCTGTTGTGCAGAAGAACTTTGCTTCCAGCCAGTGCTGTGACTTCACTCCTTCTGCCATCACAATATTTTTAGTTATAAAGCATTCGGCTCTTTGCCAGCCAATACACTTGAAACCCACTGTTACAAGGTGGGTTTCACTGTCACCAATGCCAACTGAATGTATAAAACCCTACCAGAACAAAATGATGATGTTCGATACCTCCATAGCAGCGTAATAAATGTCTGCAAAAGATGCAATCATTACTGAAATAATATTAGAGAGGCTGTAATTGGAGTACATGCTCCTTCAGGTAGCATTAATTGTCATGAAGGTTAAGTTGAGCTTCAGTTCCATACACTTAAATTTAAGTGTTTATGATGCAGGTGTCACAGATGAGCTACAGGCAGAATTTAGTTGCCTAATCATACGTACCTACTGTCATCTAAAATAACCTCGTATATCCTGCCTGGCCTCTAGCTGCCATGATCAAAGGAAGTGTCTCCTGTAGGTACAGCGATACCATGTGGTGTCTCACATACCCCAAGGTGCTTCAAACACTGCTGGATGCTTGTGTTTAAGCACCTGAACTCAGCCACTATATTCAAGGGAGTGGAACGAGCCATTGAGCTCATCCTAAAGTAGACAACTGCATTTGGTTGGCAGAGGAGCTCTCCACATGCCAGGACTAGGTGTCTCCTTCAAGGTGAGATTAATCATGTTCTATGCTGCATTGACTGTGTTGACTGGGGTTTCAATTCAGTTGTCTGAACATGGGCATCTAGACTCGTCTGTGACCCTATGGGGTATCTGAGACACTTTGCTGACCATGGCTTTCCCCCGGCATTTGCTCTTCTTAGGAGAACAGAGAGAGAGTCTGCCACTGTTTTGTCTACCACATGGGCCAGAAAATGTCTGGTGCAACAGTATGAGGTCAAACATACCAAATTGTTGGAAAATGACATTTCCTGAGGTGTTCAGTTGGATTAGTTTATTCTTAGACTTTTTCACTTTTCCTGAAACATCATAAATCACAGACATTTGCACTCTGCCGTATTATATTTTAGTTGAAAATTGTCAGGTTTTCTTACAAATTGTTACTGAGCTTTATAATTCACATAAATAAGGAGAAGTAAAATCAAATAGTTCACTATATTGTACATAACAAACTGCAAAATAGTCTTTGTGTATTTTAAGCCTGAGGTAGTCTGTTTCTTATGGTATGAACTTTTCAAAATTTATTTCACATTGATCTTGTTCTCTGTTTAAAAAATTATCTCAGTGTGCAAAGTATTACTAATTTATCCTTCATGCTAATAGTATCATTTAAATCACAATTTTAATAAATTAATTTGGAGCAAAGTAGGCATGAATCTCCTCTCATATTAATTTTACACTGAAATAACCTCAATGAGCTTAATGGATTTGCTTTTGAATTGTACTACAGTGTAAAAAAGAAACAGGCAATGTGTTTTTCCACAATATCTTCTAAAGTAAACAATTATCCTTGCAGTGTAAAGATTAATATTGGACGACTCAGAATACATGTTTTAGCATAACAATTTCAACTCGTGTATGAATGATTTTTACTTACTTTGAGCAGAGATAGACCTTTTCCAAATCAGTTAACAATTATGCAGTTTTTCATATCTTTGTTAAACATGCTTTTCTATTAAAGTTTAGCACCCCTTGGGCAAACAATAATTATTTGATATGGTTTCCTGGATAAACAAAGTTGTAATTTCAATTAGGTTAAAAAGTAAAAAACTCAAGATAAGACCCTCAGGCGTAATCAAAATTTATTAACACAGTTGTTATAACTTAACTTTGGCTTTGAAACATTAATTGTATAGTTACAATCACATTTGTAGTTTTGCACAGTGAAATAATACGAATATATCCATTCAAATTAAGACCTCAAGATTTCAGAGGACCAATAATTAGCAAAAGTTAAACATGATAGTTGCAATCAGGTAAAAATATTAAAAATGTAATTGAAAACAAGTTACAGGATAATTTCAGTATTTCCTTTGATGGACCTTGATCTATCGGTTTTAATGCAACCTTACACCTGGAAAATGAAGGTTGACTTTATCAGGTCATATGAAAGGAAATAGCTTTTCATGTGATAACTTTGACATCTTACTTTGTAAAGGAGTACTTTGGTGATTTGCAGAAATAGGCTAAGACAAACTTGTCTTTTGACAGATGACATTTTAAATATACTACAAATACCATCCTGTGACATGTGCTACACACAGAGCAGAAATACAGTGGCTTTCACTTTGAAAGATAAAGCCATATAAAAATATCAGAGCGCGCCTAAAAAGTTTTCACAAATAAAATTCAATACACCTCAAACTGGAATAGCTAGAATTTTTTAAGCCTCAGTTAACAGTGTGCACTGGAAACGTTAAGTAATTCAGAAAAAAAATGCACCAGTACAGTTCCGATCACTAATGGTTTTAAAATAAAATACACACAGATACATACATATTTATATATACATATTATTACTTTGCTGTTAAAAGTTCTTACTAATTATTTATTGAAAAAGGTCATAATATCTTCAGATTTCTATTTCCTAATGAGGTAAAACCAGAACTTCTGTTCACACACAATGATGTATTTAAAAACGCCATTTTTATTGTTCTTTTCTTGTGGCTATTATTTGGGCATTTCTTAAGCTGTTACAAACCTGTGACTCGAAGTTTATCTGTGCCAATCACAACCTCATTTTCATCCACTGTAAAAAGTGGCTTGCCATCCTTTGAGTTGATCTGAAATTGTTGACCATGGAATTCTACCATTTTAGGACCTGTAAAGCACAGTAGAATAATGGAATAATTACATCAGCTTTCTTCAATTTTCTATATAAATTGCTAATAATTTGAATTGTGGTCTTAATTTAATGACTCATTCAAGTACATTAAGGATCATGAAGCACCCAGATATGCTAAGGATAGTGGCCCTGTAAGTACTGAAATTGGATAAGTATTCATATGATCTAATTTGTTGTTCAAAACTGTGCCTGGAGTCATGCTTTCAAGTTGGGTTTCCAGGGCATTCAGGAAATCCCTCATGAATTGATCAAGACAAATAATCATGCTCTTGGTGTTGAAACTGCTAAGATTCTTTGATCAATTTATCTTTTTTTTTTTTTAACATAGAAACTATTTATTAAAGTCTTTGCAGCATCATCCCTTTTGATTAGGGAGGCTCAAACGCATTAAAATGACAAAAATCCCATGTCAGGGCAGGACCCTCAGCTCTTCATAACAAACGCCAGTTTAGCTCTACATATCTAACAAATGTTACGGATCATGTTCTTAGAAGAGTTTCAAAAAACTGTGAGAGTATTTGCAATTGGATCTGGAACTCCGAAAATTAAAATAATTGTGGGCAAGAGAGTCTTTACATATTACCAGATCCTAAATTCAGTAAAACATTCTGTTCTAGAGTGTTGGCTTGATAAGCGAATATAAATCAAACCCTTACTATTCCCTTTCTAACAACCTGATCAATTAAAAATAAGCATCACATAAGTTTCAATGTCTATTTCATAGAATCATGAATCATAGAATCGTTTAGGTTGGAAAAGGCCTTTAAGATCATTGAGTCCAACCGTAAACCTAGCACTGCCAAGTCCACCACTAAACCATGTCCCTAAGCACCATATCTATACATCTTTTAAATACCTCCGGGGATGGTGACTCAATCACTTCCCTGTGCAGCCTGTTCCAATGCTTGACAACTCTTTCGGTGAAGAAATTTTTCCTAATATCCAATCTAAACCTCCCCTGGTGCAACTTGAGGCCATTCCCTCTTGTCCTATCGCTAGTTAATTGGGAGAAGAGACCAACACCCACCTCGCTACAACCTCCTTTCAGGTAGTTGTAGAGAGCGATAAGGTCTCCCCTCAGCCTCCTCTTCTTCAGGCTAAACAACCCCAGTTCCCTCAGCCGCTCCTCATAAGACTTGTGCTCTAGACCCTTCACCAGCTCCATTGCCCTTCTCTGGACACGCTCCAGCACCTCAATGTCCTTCTTGTAGTGAGGGGCCCAAAAGTGAACACAGTATTCGAGGTGCGGCCTCACCAGTGCCGAGTACAGGGGCACGATCACTTCCCTACTCCTGCTGGCCACACTATTTCTGATGCAGGCCAGGATGCCATTGGCCTTCTTGGCC